TCGTATATAAGCGTTTGATTACCGATGTTGACGTAGCGAACGTGTAAAAAACTCTGAGGTAAGTCGTCGCGTATTTGGTAATGATTCGGTGGAGCATTTGTAATTACATTGAATTCAGATTAGGTTTCTCCGGCTAGGGCACGTATTACGCATGACCAGTTATCGTCTATCTCATCTTGTCTTATTCACAGTTGCGGCTCCAGGTAGGAGGAAACTACATGGAGCTCAAAAAAAAATGGCGCGGAAAAGAGGCATGAAGAAGTTCATAGAGCAATTAGGTAGAGTGGGTATTTCCCGTCTTCCAGGTTGAGATCCAAAAGATTGTAACTGGTTGGTTGGAGACATTGGAGGATGTAGCAACTAACGGAGAGCAATGGTGGTCCTGCTGTCATTTCTTATCAGGACAAAATGCTTTAAATGGTATGTATGCACAGTTACAGCTTCACTTTCTTTGCGTTCCTCTAGTTTGGTCCAAACCATATTCATCTTGTACTTTCTCAATCGTTTTGTGTACATTGAAAGCTTGGCAACGATCAGCAAACTTCACTTTTGTGTATCTCGCTGTACGATGATGATGACCAAGCCACCGGAATAGGTGCGAAGATCCGAATACCCTCACGTGTGTGGCATGCGGTTGTCGGGGTGTGAGTATTGTCGTATGCATGCGGAATCGCAGAGTCATCAGCGGAATAAAAAAGGAACTGTTTCGAAAGGGGGTGGGTCGCTGAACCAGATGCTATCGCTACCACCGACCCAAACAACTTAGTACCGCAAGTAACCTACATCAGTGAAACATTTGTATAATCCATGACCCCCTAGGATTACGCATTTAATCTTTGGCATGAGCGTAATTTCCTTCTCGAAATAATAAAGGTATACCTGTCTGTGGGTCGTGCTGTCTGGATTCATACTTTGTTTTGTTCAATTCATAGAGTAAAATGACATTCTTTTGCTCATTGGTGGGCTTTCTGCAGGAACGAAGTGAAACTAAAAAATGTTAGCCATTTAGATACAAAGGTATGATAATTGAAAAACAAACTCGTAAGGCATGTGATTTTATATGTGAGTATATGCTGAATCCAATTTCCGTAGAATACCAAATGCGACAATCGTTTTCTGTGGGATGAGTATTTTCACATATCGTGCTAAATTATCATTTTATCGCAATAAAAGACTTCTTTGTTTCCCAAGTTTGTTCCGAAGGAGATTTTGGATTTGACAAGTTAACACTAACTTCAACGACTGAAATTGGTGAAACAATGGGTTTGACTTCGTTTGGGGGCAATACAAGTGTGCACAGTTGTTGAAATGCTCTGTTAATGAAGTCAGCTAAATATAATCAGTTTACTGAGGCTAACATATTGCAGAACAAAATATGAACAGAAAACAGAAAGAAATTCAACAGTAACGGCATACCTGGGCAAATTCAAACGCGGGTGCATTTAGAGCAGACTTAAGAGGGTTTTCTCCGTACTCATGTGCTGAACTGATAGGTTGGGCGGCGGCCAAATCAGATGAATTCGGAGATAAAGGGTTCGATTCAGATAAATCGGTTTCTCGACGGAATACACGAACTAGATTTACAACTGCACTGGCGATAGGATGTTTCACAGTTGATTCAGCACTGGCCAAAAGATATAGCAGTCGACTAGGAGATATTTTAGTAGACAATTTCAGATGGTTTGAATTAGTCACCGGTGAACCAAGCTAGCAAAACAGAACACGGATGAAAAAGAACGGAAAATTATGTCAGATCAAGAGTGGAAGTTAAAAATAAAGAGCAACATACATAGTTCATTGAGACAAAATTCAACTAAACTGCGATAGTCTCATGAAAATCTTGACAGTAAAGGACCGATAACGGTTGGATATAGCTCATCGATCCATTGTAAACGAAAAGGGCACAAGTTTGACTCTCCATGTCAATTGCATTGTCATGTACCAAACTTAGGTCAGTGAAATAAAGCCTCAATTTACGGCCTGTCAAGTTCAACGGAAGAGTGATTGAGAACATTTGTCTGAATTCTCGGGAGTGTAAACGGAGTGCTATGCTAAGAGCTAACCAGCACCTTTACCCACCTCTCAATTACTATGGTACCATAAACAAAAACTCCGCAGCAGTAGAAAAGTGAAAGGGAACGTTTTCGCGTGTGAGTCTGACACTGTGAATTTCACCGGAGCATGAATGCGGTTGGAGATTTAAAAGAAACTTAAATCGCGGACGTGAACTAGAAATCAAACGCATTTTCTTGTGCAACGCACACAGGGAAAGTGAGTTAGTTAGAATTCTTTTAATTTGGTTTTGGCATGGTTTTGTTGAGTCAGCACAGGAAGCATTCCGAAAACAGTGACTTGTCATTTGAGAAAGTTGTATAAAACAAAAATATTCGTTAAGAAAAATCGGCCTCAGATGAGAGATTTGGAGTGCCAGTGTCAGCCACTAACTGGAGTTTAGGGATGCAAACGCAGATTTTGACTGGGAGAAATCATGGAGGAAGCACGTAACGGCAACATATAGTTCGGGGTGGGACNGTGGGGGGGGGGGGGGGGGGGGGGGGGGGGGTGAAGGCTTGAATAATAACCAAGATAAACTGAGGGGTAGCTTCGGGAATAATAATCCAGTAATCTTTTGTCAGCATCGTGCTTTTGTTGGCCGTAGTGTTAGAGCCAATTGGAATATCCATTACTTCAGACGAAATAGACTAGAAGCCTGCGATACGATGAGGATGTTTTACTATTAGGAGGACGAATGAAGCAAGCATTGATTTATTTGGAGTTCGAGGCAGCCACCCCATTTTTTACGATACATCAAAGTAGGAAGGAACCCCATAGCTATAGAAACCTAGTGTGGTATGACGATAACTGGTAAAAATAGTTCTATCATATGAAGCGGAAAACCGTCCAAGCCTTTGATAGTAAAACTATGGTACTGAGCAGAGTGATAGGATATATGCAGTTCACGCAATTGACAGTGATGTATGAGCGAAAATCCAATACAACATAGACTGCGAGACGTTGCAAGATGGAAATTTTAACGGCTGCAAATGATTGCACTACTTAAATGAAGCCTACATGGAGTGTTTCTATGAAGTAGGAGCGCACGAGATGAGCAAAAATGCTGCGGAATACATGATGACTAAATGGGATTGGAACATCCGCTGTTTCAAGGAAATATATAACAAAAAACGTAACAAGAACCAAAAAATGAATGATTTAATGCCAAAGGTTTACACATTTAACAGAGGAAAAATAACTGAAATGAAGTGGCGGACTCACTCGATCAGCCTGAGGACTATTGTCGTTAGGAATGAACATAACCAGACGGTTAACCTGTGGACGCCCTTGGGTAATGGTACCGGTTTTATCGAATAGTATTGTTGTTAACTGGATGAGAAGAGGTCGGGTTTGGTAAACAAAACACACATGTTTGATAGCTTGTAACGCATTGTTAAACTTGTAAGCAGATATGCCTACGTTGTAGAGAAAGACACAACGAAAAGAAATAACGTAGAAAATGAATGAACATCATACAAATCAAAAGGTTTATTCGAAGCTCAGGAGCAAATTCATCTTTATCACTGAGAATACCGCCTACGTGCTGAGCGAGGGAATCGTAATGTATGTTGATCCGACTAGGAATGAGTCGAAGAATGGAACCAGCTGGTGGATGGGAATGGCAGAGACAAATCAGAATGGACAGGCTGTGATTGGTCCCAGAAAATATTGTGAGCACATCCCTCACAGCATGAAGATAGTACCATTAATCGACAAGTGCCCATGGGTAGGAGCCAAACGCAATTGATGATGGCTAAGCTGTGATCGAGAGTAGTGAAGTCTTTTCAAGTAAACCGGAAAAGATGACTGTGGCACAATAAATAATGGGGAAATTACAAATTTGTTTTCAGTGATTCGCGGTCATACCAAATACATCACAACAAATACCACACTGTTTATGTAAAAATCACCAATCAATATATATATATATATATACATATATATATGAATGAATGAACTGACAAAAGATTACCGGATACGCATGCCTGACGAGCGGCAAGAACCGCGAAACCGGTCTTGTGCTTCCAGGGTAATTTTGTCTATACCTTTTTCAGTTTAAGATGCTCGAATATCAATTTAAGATGTCATGTTGCTATGTGGATAGTAAGATTGCTCCGTCGTTTCACATTTTCTTGTACTTTTTGTGATACTCTTGTTGTCACGTTCAGTCCATCTGTCTAGTGATGGCATGCCTGCTGTGCAGTCTAAGTTCACTGGGCCTGCTAAAGACCCGCGACTGCAAACAAGGCGTGTCTTCTCGCTGGGGTTAGCTGTGAAAGCACCAGATCCCTTGTTGCGGCTGGGCCATCCGATCGATCGACAAATGAATCCGATCGGTCGTGTGATTTTCGGGCCTGCATAGGAGGCGGATAGGTTCCGATGCCGACGCTGCTCAAATGTTGCCAGAGAAGCACCACAGGAAAATCAATTATGAAAGGATGCGCCATGGGGGAAATTCGGAATGGAAAAAAGTTCAAGTGATGGTGACACTGAGCCAACGTTTTGCTCGTCTATCTAAGAGACACGCACTATTTTTCTAAGCGGGTTTGATGAGCGGACAATCACAATAAAACTTTGAACCTGTCTCAAGTACGGATCACGATATCCACCAATGTAGGTCAACGCAAAACTCTTCTTGGAATTTAACTGACGGGCTTTTTTCTCGTGGAACGATCTTGCTAACTACGTCGGATATAGAATCCCGATGGAGAGAAAAATCTAGACGGATTGTCTGAGGAAGACCTATCGATGGGCTCTGTCGAACTAACATGCAAACGGGTGAGAAATAATCGCAAGTGACTGGTAAGCGGATGTGTGCAGTAAGCTTACAAATCCAAGCAATCGATAATCGCCGTTGCATGGACACGCCTGTGTGAATGAATGAACGATAATTGCCATTGTCCTTGCTAGAGCACCGATGAAATTGGCCGAAGATCACCGTAACCCGGGTCCGACGTGCTCCTGACTGCTTGAGCGACGCTCTTCTAATTTGTGAATCACGTGTTAAGCATAAACCGTCACTTATGTTTACCAACACTGACCCTCAAGAACATATCAATCGGTTCGACCATAAACTGGCAGCAAAAAAAGCGAACGAACAAATAGATGTCTGAAGAGCTAATTTTCACCGGAAAATCATGAATAGATCACACAGTGAACAATCAGCTTGGAATATGAGAAAGAAGTCAAGGTTTTCGCAGTGTTCGACCTGGTTCATCCTTGTTTTCACCGCATAGGTTAATACTGAGGTTGTGATTATAAAAATTAAAACAATTGTATATTATGGTGGACGCCGTATACTCAATTATGTGGTTGGCGTAACATTGCAGAATGGAGGGATGTGTGGAATTAATATGAGGTAACTGGGTTACAACCAATTCAGTTGCAAAAGGTAGGTAGTTTCGAGATAACTAAACACTTGAAGCCGAAGAACGGCTGAAGATTGGATGCGCTATGAAAGACTTCACCTTCTTTGATAAATAGAGGATAAGCAAGACACTATTTCTAAATTCCGTCATAAATAAACAGTATCTCATTAAAAACATTGGGAAAAAGTAACGGAATTAACGTACATTCCATCGAGCCGGTTGTTTTCTCACAACTCCCAACCGATTTTTCATACTACTTAATGGCACTTACTACTGACTAACATGCTTTGTTGCAGTTCCTGGAATCTATCCCCTTTTTCGAATTCCCGAGGGGTGCGATATAGCAGGAGATTGACTGTATATCAATAAACAAATCACAAATAATAAGCAGTGAATTATTGTAACTTGTGAATATATATATATCACATTCACCTGAGTCCAGACTGTGTGCGAATCACAGTACAATGATCTTTAGAAAGAAGAAAAATGTCCGATGATGCAATTGAGGTCAAGTTTGCAGCATAAGAACGATAAACCTAAAGACCCCGACATCATTCGACACATGCTCCAGTTATATGGACACGAGTTCTGCGAACATCCCATCTTCGTTGAAACTCTAGTGAAATATATCAACACATGCGTTCTCTAAAGGTGTCGACCGCATCTGGTTCAAACAACTTAAGTTCTACATTTCTTAAACACATCGTACTGTGCCACTGTCCCAGTTAATCTTTCACTCGAAATCCGAACTATCCTGGAGTGCCGGCTCCCGGTGAGAACTAAACCCATCCCCAAAGGAACTGCGAAACGTTTCAGGCCATTGTCACCTCCACTGGTTTGAAGTTGATGGAGCGGTCAGTTTTGCATCGCCTTTAGTTATCTTTTACCACCCCCCGATGACACTTATCAATTTGCATGCAAGCATAAAGCTTCAGTAAGGTCGGGGGTGGGTTTCTAAGGTTGCGGCTGGTCACTCATCCCTTGCACCTCGCGAAATGCTTTCATACGACCAAGCGTCTCAAATAGACTCTGCTGAGGAAGTCCTACTTACTGACTTCTCGTGGCGGAGGTGTTTTCCCACGACAGTGAAAGGACGACAAGCCGACATCCGGGTTGGTGGACCACTGGCAGTTCACCTAGGGGAGTTGGCCAAAAACCCTGATTCCAAACCACACAGAAGAGGCGTAAGAACCACATCCACACCTTTCCGGGTGTAGCAGTGGTCACCGGCTCGATTGGGCACATTGAACGTTTGACTCCGTCCGAAAGACGTATGATCCGATGAACTGGACACTGTCTCTCAATGGATTGCGGTTTTCACACCGCCCCGCTGCCTTGCGGGTCAGGTTTTGGTTAGCCGAAGGCTTCGGTTGTGGATTCCCGAAGAAATTTCACCTGCCTTGACCTGGATACCTGGCAGTATTCGGCCCACTTGTAAATCGTGCAACGTTTTTCTTAATAAGAAAGTTTATTGTGACACGATTTGTTTGGCACACAGTCTGGTGTTAGAGGTGTGTTAAATATATATATATATATAACTGCTCAAACCTAGATGCTTTTTCTTCTCTAGTTCAATTTATCTGTCAGTCTCTAAACGTGAAAGGGAAATACGTGCACTACGCATTTCTTGATTATTCTTCCGCTTTGGACTCGGTGCTTTGTTCTCTTTTACTTAACAAGCTCCAATCGTTTGGTTGTCCTACTCCGCTTCTTGAATGGCTTGGGGATTACTTTCGCAAAGATATCAGCACGTTAAATTGGGTAGAAGACGGTCAAGGGCATCTCAATAGTTCGGGTGAACTTCAAGGTACAGTCTTATCACCCTATCTTTTTCTGACTTATCTATTACTCCCCCTGTAAGACATTTTAAGTATACTGATGATATCGACATCTCGGTTTCCGTATCTAACCAATCAGAACTGGTTGCATATAACATCAAATTATCCCACCTCGCTACATACTCCAGTTTACTGTCTTAATATTTATCTCGAAAAATGCCTTAAACGAATTTTCTTTTAAACTGTTCCCCATCTCCCTCCAACAATGTACAGATTCAGGGAAAGTCGATGAGCAGGGTCAGCCATATGAAGTACTTAGGTGTCACACTTAAAAGTAACCTTCTTGGGTGTTTACATACTCAAGCTGAAAGCTCTCTGCTTTCAGATAAGAAGACTGCGCCATTTCTGTTCTGATTGGTCGGTGATAAGAGCTTTTGTTCAACAATGTTCTCCCTATACGCCTTTACTGCTCCCGTGTGGTTTTCCCTGATTTGCTGAAGGCCGATTTCAAGCTGCTGAGACGTGGCCTCTCAATGATCAGCCGTGTTTCCCAAGTTCCTTTATCTGGTCTGATTGACTATACCTGTGATGCGTACTTTAAGTTTACTGACAATATTCTATCTGGTTGCACCCATAATTTACGCATTGACTTGTATGCAGGCAAATTCCACCCCTCCACCCGTTCTAAATACAAACTCATCCCATCTCGGACATCTGTCTACATAAACTTTTTGGCGCCCTATCTTGCTCGGATATTGACGGACAAGGAGTATTGGTTCTGGGCTTTCTAATGCATTTGGTGGTTAATTCATATTGTTCCACGCTTGATGTCCCACTTCCTCCTTTTTCTCGCTAAATCTTTAATACAACACAAAGCGAAGTCCTCAGGATGCTTTGATCGTGCGTCCAAAGTTACCATCGTTAGGAGATTATTGTTTTTATGTGCGGCTTTTCATATTTGTTGAATTGTTCAGAATATTGTTGAGTCAATACACAAGACAGTTCTGCAAAAGTATAATCGTCGCTTATGGGGAATCAAGGATATCGGCCTATGTTGGTCTCGATAAAGTTGTGCATTGGACCCAGGCAAAACCTAGCTCGTAGAGCTCAGTGGATCACAAGAATAGATCAGTGAAACGGGCATTTTGATATAATCCTAAAATTATTAGATAATGCTTGCCTGTAGCAGTTCATGCAATAGACGTGAACCGCTTTTTGGGTAACTTCCTTTTGTTAAATGTATAATGATAATTTTCAGGAAGGGGGAAGTGACCAACCAAAGGGCTGCCATACAATACAGAGAATGGGGAAAGTCAAACGCATGAGTAAAAATAGGTCACGAGCAGAGATGTCATGTGTTACTAATGAACGAGAAGCAGTTGACGAGTAAAGGTAATCAGCCTCGTGATAAAAAGCAATGTAGATAGTTTCCATCTAGTTCACACAAGAAGCCGACGAAGTTGTTACCAACATGAGGCTATTTGATAGAATCGCATTGCTTGGAGGAGAGCGATAATCCAGTGGTCACGGTTCATGGTTTTGAGTTCTTGACCAAATTAGATATTTCAATTAGATTGTATTTACTGTGTTGTCACCAGATTAGGGAAACTAAAAAAATGTAATAACATTCATAGGACAAATGACCTCGGAGCCTGATACCGGTTTCTAGTTGAGGTCGGTGTGGCTAGACCCAGTGCACAAGGACAAGCAATTGTGAGCACATTGATGGCCATTCGGAACGCGTGATCTACGGCCAACTGGACAATAGCACATCCAGGCTAGAAAAAAAGAAATGATCAAAACAGAAAAGTTTTGATATGAATTAACTGGGAGAACCATTTCATATTTACCAGGAAAGACACAAGTAATCATCTTATCTCCTTCAAGAATGCTCGGATTGCACTGTCGTCAAAGGAATTCATTTCGATCTGAAAATATGTTATCGGATGAGTGTGTTTGCTGAATTTGGTTTTCAGCAGTTAGTTTGACGCAGTATCGAGCTGTAAAACTACCCAAACAAGTTACTGATTTCCCAAGCTAAGTCTCAGATTGTGCAACTATAAAACTATAAAACTGGCGTTTTCGTGCGCTGATTTTGGCCATCCATTTTATCGTCCAAAAGAAGGAGTAGCATCAAACAAATGAGTCATAACGAGGCAAAGAATGCAGATGACGCACAAGCACCACTATTTGTGACGTTTAACTATTAAACTCTCTCTCTCTCTCTCTCTCTCTATATATATATATATATATATATATATATATATATATATATATATATTATGCAGTTAGACAAATGATACAAATACATATAAATCGAGTATGTTATAAAACAAGGAATAACTAATCATAAAGTTATTTATTATATTTCGCCTATCTCAGAAAACATGGTTATGGAGTCGGTCAAACTGGCGGAATGGCACATTCGTGTAACGATTTTGATTTGTTTTTTTGGCTGTCCGCTTGGACGGAGGAGTAAATTGGAAAAAGGTAGAAGTATCAGAAGAAAGAGGGAGAATTCAAAGAACCAGAATTTTCAATCAGGGTAGACACTGATTAGAGTTCTACTCTCACTCAACTCAAGTTTTTCGTACTCTAACGTTATAGTTGTTAAAATTACGTTTCAACGAAGCATTGGGACAACTACTTTTTCAGCACCCGTGAATGGAAGGAGAAATTATTGATTTTATATATACAACCATTTTAACCCATTTTGTCACGATACTGTGGATCAAGGAAGCGTCAGCTATTTAAGTTTACCTAAAACGCAATTTGACATTTATCCGTTTGTTCCACATAGATTGAAGCAAATCGGTAATTAATGTAACTAGAACACAATGAATTGTGTTTCGTTTATATGATGAATTCATCGTGTAAATGAGGCTTGAGCTGAAAAGCTGGGAAGCACTGGACAGCTGTTCCGATCTGGTTGGGTCTTATCAGCAGTGCGAATCCATCGACCCAACTGGGGATTGAACTCGGGTCTCACAGGCAGAACGCAAGCATACTACCCACTGGGTCACCGGGCAGCTGATCAGACCGTTTCTCATTTTGAATTTACACGATATAGCACAACTCGTCTATGTGAGCTTGTTGTGAGTATCGGTCCTCGCTCATCTGAGCATTAGCTTCCGGGGTTATGACTCGGTTGGAAACTTTCACAACCTGAGGTCCCGGGTTCGATCCCCAGTTGGGTCAATGGATTCGCACTGCTGATGAGAACCAACCAGGTTGAAACAGCTGTCCAGTGCTTCCCAGCTTTCTAGATTACGCCTCATTCACACGATGAATTCATCATATAAACAAAAACAAAATCCTCGATTACTCCCATGAATTGTATTTTCTCGAACTTTCGATGTGGGTAACGACACGTATTCGACTTACCTTTCTGGAGGCTTAGTTTGACTTTGTTGAAGAGGTACAAACAGATCACCACGATGAGCAAAAATCAGAATATTGGATTGAGTGTTGGACTCAATGAAAGTCAATGAAAGCAAATATGTTTGACATCAATTGAGGAATAAGTCAATTCACAGCAAAACAGTTTTGGATTATACAACCAATAGCCTTGCACTTTTGGTTGCTGTATTGAGGCCACTCAATGGGTTGAAAAATGGTGAAGTAGATGAAAGCAGTGGGAAATTGAGAGTAGTACCACGATAAACATATAGAATTTGCATCATTGTTTACAAAGGTTAGACAAATAAATCCGTCGATAAACGAGGGACCATACTGAGGCTGAGGTCTCCAACCGGAGAGCATAACGAGACCAGAATTACCTGAGCGGGATTTTTATACCTTCATGCTAGGTTTCAGTTTGACGAACATTGATCTTCTTCCATTCAATATCTGCCTCGGCGAAAATCGCACCAAAAATTCGTGTAAAAGAAGCAAAAGCCGAGAAGCTAGCGAGCACTACACAGCTGATTCGACTTGGTTGGATTTCATCCGCAGGGAAAATAAATCGGATCGCGGACCTCATACCTAGAACGCAAGCGTACTACCCACCCGACCACCACGCTGAGGAAGCTTACTATTAATATATAAGTAACACGTGTCCCATTAGCCACAATCTACGCACAACAGGTAGAAGCTCACGCACGTGAACCCGATCATTTAGAACTCTGCACTGCTTGTCTGGTTGACCCGCTAGATTCATGCAGCAGCCTGGAAAGCGGTGCCCGAGCACCGATAATGTCTTAATCCTGTTTCAATAATGATTAATTCACTGCACCATATAGCAGCACCTACCGAACTGATGTAATGTACATTTAACCCTTTAAGGAAATCATATGTTACGGTAGCGCTAAAGATGTTTGAAGTTGGGAAAGTTCAACAAAGCCTTCTGTATGCCTACCGACATTAGCTCTACTGTCTCTAACATTCAAGCGGCATTAGGAATTGTAACAACTCTATTCTAGAATAACATTTCAAACAGTGTAAGTGCAAAACGCAAGTCGAAGATAGCTAAAATAATACTTAGATTAGATAAGCTCGCAAATCACCTAGATCTTCACTTTGCCGTAAAAAGTCCTTTGCCCGATTCTCAGAGCACGTCAACGTCACTATCCTCGCACAAAGACAAGACCATTTTCAGAGTCACTAATGCTTGAAATCGAGTAGGTGTTTTATTTCAGCAAAATTGGTTGCACGTTAGCAGACCGTATAAGATTCCCCCGCATCAGTTCTGTAAAAAGGGATTCGGTAGGTGAATAGAATAGAAATAAACCTTTCAGGTTTCACCTATCTGCTCCAGTATGTGCTCGAAAATCTCGAATTCAAGTGTAATGTGTGCATCAGCTGTGTGATCCTGCTTAGTATGCTATTTTGAACCGTAACATTGTGAACCAACTGGAATGCATTCAGACTGGATTGTAACAATGAGTATACGATAGAACATGAAATGTGGTTTTCAATAGGTGCACATACCTCGTATCCTTTGACAGTTTCCGGTCGAAATAGGCCTAACGCAATCCAAACGAAGAAGGTGGTCAACGAGATCAAACAAACAAATGGAACGAAGTAACTGGCAATGCGATCGGCTAGTTGTTGGATTGGTGCCTGAATAAGAGAAAATAAAACAAAACTTACTTCCTGTTTTCTTAGTAGTTTACGGACGGGGAAAAGGACGCGGTCATTTTGACATTCTATCTATCTATCTATCCATCATCACATTTAAATGTTTATCCGCTTGATTCTTCCAACTTAGGACTGTATGAAACAAAGAGCTATCGTAAACAACAACAGCTCATGTTAAATTTATTATGAACAGGGCCGTAAATGATGTTCATTGTTATTTTTTAGGAACCATTTTACCTATCGGGTCATTACAAGCAGCCTGGACTAGCAGGTTGTATAAGGTGACTCATTGACTTGACGAGAAACCAATCAATGTGGCAAGGGAAACAATTTTACAAAAACAGGGTTGTAATTTTTACAGCTATAATAGTGTAATACCCGGTGAT